CACATGACAAAACTGCTAAGTACGTTATAAATTCATTTTAGTTAACGGTCTTCCTTACGGTTGTCAGGTGAATGCATTCAAGTTAGTATGTATTCAGGAATAATCGATTATACTTAGTACTTTAATGGAAATATTGAACAAGCACAATTCCACAGTGATTGGTAATGCCTCTTGTGGATGAGCCAAACTACCCACCAGCATTTTCCTTCGAAATCTGTCTTAGACAACCCTTTCCAGTTGCCATTGATCCTTTTGATGTCTGCTTTTATTTCCTGATGCAGTGTGTTCTTTGGTCTTCCTCTATTCAATTTCCCTTCAGGATTCCAAGTTAGCGCTTGTCTCGTGATGCAGTTTGGTGATTTCCTCAATGTATATCCTATCCACATCCAACGTCTTTTCCTAATTTTATTTTCACCTGGAACCTGATCTGTCCTCTCCTATAAAAGGCTGTTGCTGATGGTATCCGATCAGTGAATGTTGAGTATTTTGCGAAGACAACTGTTTATAAATACTTGTACCTTCTTGATGATGGTTGTAGTAGTTCTCCACGTTTCATCTCCCTACCATAAAACTGTCATGATGTTGGTATTGAAGATTCTCATTTTAAAATTTGTTTTAAGTTCCATATGTTCTTCAATTGTAGGAATATCACCCTTGCTCTGTCAATCTTTGCCTTCATATTTGCATCAGACCCTCCTTATTCATCGATGATGCTGCTTAGGTACGTGAAACTTCCCACTTTTTCCAGAGCTTTTTTATTAAATGTGATTGATTTGGTGTTTTGTGTTGCATTTCGAGATCTTACTTTTCCCCTGGTGTATGTCGAGGCTCATTGATGTGGAAGCTGCTGCTGAGATCTCCTTTCTTTGGTATCTTGATAAGGAATACTTCTTTCCAGTCTGTCGGCACTTGTTGTCCCTCCTAAATCCTCCTGAATAGAATGTGGAACATGTTTGAAGTTACTTCTATGCCTGACTTCAGTGCTACGGCTGGTATATTGTCAGGTTATGTTGCTCCCCCACTATTGATTTGTCTGATGGCGATCCCAATTCCCTCGATCGTTGGTGGAGTGACATATATAGGAAGGTTGGTAGGTTCTGCTTCCATGTCCGGTGGGTTTAGTGAGATTGGTCTATTCAGTCAGTCACAACGTAGAACTTTGTACGTACGTACATCAGTTCGAGTTGCCATACCACATTAACACAGAGATGCAGTTGTCCATTCAAATCCCATACAGGTAGAAGTAATAAGAGTATAAGCAGTAATAAGAAAGATTAGGGTTTGAAGATGTTATTGAAGGAGCATAATCCAATGAAATAAATTTGGAAAGAGAAAAAAGATAGAGACATGAAGAATTCAGAAGATTAGAATTTGGCAGAACACAAAGAGTGGATGCACCGTCGCCATTGCAAGTTATTCAAAGTGTTCTATCTACTTGTTCCTCTGCTTTTTCAATCTCAGTGATTGACTCGCCTTCTTTTTCTCTGGCTGGTCGCTCTGGTTTACTATATTTCCTAGCTAGTTTCTTCATTATGTCACATAATTGTCTCCGTCTAGTTCTCTTCCAGGGATACTACCGGTCCCAAATCCAGGTAAAGAAGGTTTGAACATGGGGTTAGCAACTTTATCCCATAGAAAACAACCTCGCTAGCAAAACGCTAACTAGAATAAACAATTAAATACTGATAATTGGATACGTTATTTGGAAATGGATACACCTATTGTTAAAAACAAATTTTTCACATTAAAAATCTTATTTATAGTGTCATTCGCTTCATTGGATTATCGATCACATAATCACTATTGTTGAGCTATTTGATGTATAAACTGCTATAGGCGAGTATGCACGTGAAATATAAGGAAAATCATAAATATAATAATCAATATGAAAACCAGTTGGCATAGTACCTGAATGACTGTGTTTCGACTACAACAAAAATTATCACAAGGGGATTTTGTGGAGATTTTAGTCATTTTATATTGTTAAGATCATGAGCCAATGGAAGCTCGACCAAGGTGGAAAACCTGAGAGCACTGGTCGGCCGTTTCGTCCTATCGCCGGACTCTTCAGCACTACTGCATCCACGATCGCGCCTCATGAGATAACGTAGTAGGGATTGTGGGTGCGCACTTCTGATGAGTCCCACGGTAGGACGAAACGGCAGTCCAGTGCTTCCAGGTTTTACACGTTGATCGAGCTTCCATTGGCTAATGATCTTAACAATATAAAATTACAAAAAAATTACTGGTAACTTATTTTCATCTTCGTCGTAAACTGTACAATATCGATTGAAAACAGTTTCGTTTATTCAATGTTCAAGATTCGGAATGCCCAGTACATTGTTCACTATTCCCATATGCCAATTATTTTCCATAAACTTTTAGATATCCATTTTATGACAGACCATTGATAAGCGCTATATTAAGTAACCATTGAAGTAACGTGTAATTTTGATATGAAACAACAAATCTCAACCAATTAAATACAAAGTCCTATTCAAAGATCTATATATGTCTAAAGCATAAAATGCATTCACCATATATGTACTTGTGTTTACCCTTTAAGATAACAATCATAAGTTATTGATTGAGATCATAAATTGATTGATATTAGACCAACATTAAAAACCTAGAAGAACCGAACGACCGTTTCGTTCTATTATGCGACTCCTCAGAAGTGCGCATTTACCATCCCACTCACGCGTAAACGCCTAACCTTTAGACCACTGAGTCAGCATTCAACGGTGTTAATGTCTAACCTCAACCAGGCCCCCCAAATGCCCTGGTACGGCCAACAGTCCGCTCTCCGTCTCCAAATGCTCTCACATGGCCACGAGAATACAACCACTATCACCACCACGGAAGTGTTACTCACTGACTTCTCGTGGCACTACTGTTGTTTACCAAATTGAGAGGACGAAAAGCGAATGTCCGGAGCTTTAACCGGGTTGGTACATATGGAAAGTCCACCTACGGGAGTTAGAAAACCCTCATTCCAAACCAATGGTATACATGGGCTCCAGTATCCTGAAGGAACAAATGGTATATGAATCAATCGTTGGTCATCGTCTACCATGGGACTGCATCTCCTCACGATGCTCCACTGCTTTGTGAATCAGACGTATAGGTCAAAGGCTCCGGGTGTGGCCCCCTAAGAAAACCACCTGCTTCAGTTCGTGCACCTGGGTAGTATCACAGCCCTCACACAAATCAAATGTGATTTGTGCCATGCATATATATCTGGTGCCCCTTTGTACCAATATTTATATGTTTAAATAAATAAAATAAATCAATCACTGTTGAGGAGTCTCTCCAGTGTTTCCAATGGTAGTCTAACATCAATCAATTCATGATCTCAATAATTTCTACACAACTCCCATCCCCATACTGATAATCATAAGTTAACCATTACGTCATTATGCATGTAATTTTCAGTTACATACACAAATAAACCTGTAAAGGTGTTTATTATTATTATCATCATTGTAAAATGTTTTTTCTTTCTTCATTATTGATATTATTCACAAAATGAATTTCATGCATAATTAATTAAGTAATAAGAACATAGAAACTAAAAATAAAAATAAAAAGTGAAATATTATTCATTAATTAAATAGAATAAACATTGTACACACACATATATAGATGTAGTTTGATATAATAATAATAAACGCTGCTTAAATAGGATTTATCATTATTACATAATGTAATGAACAATGAAAATAATTGAACTTCTCTCAATGAAAGTAAAAAAAAAAAAGAATTGGATACAAGGAGAGAGAGAAAAAAAGAAGAATGGAAATCAATTAACATATGAACGATAATTGATTAGATCATGTTTATATATATATATATATATATATATATATATATATATATATGCAGAATATAAGGGAAAGAAGGCGGGAGGGGGGTGCGGGGAAGTGATAATATTGATTAAAAGAAAACACTTGTTATTGTTGATATTCTAACATAACCACCTAGCACCAGGGATGTTTAAATAATCATCTTCATAGCAATAATAAAAATGAAGAAGGAAAAAAAAACAAAAAAAACTCCTTAGTGTATTTTGTTTACACATGTATGGCATGCAGAATAAACAATACGATAAAAGTACAATTAATAAGGATGTCTACACACATACACATACACACCATAGACAATAAGAATGAAGGACAACAACGACAAGAGAATAGAGAATGTAAACTGATTGCCGGTATTTACAAATGGTTAAAAGTAAATAATTATAAAAACAAAACAAAAAAATTAGATAAATAAGTAAATAACAAGACACCTATGTATATATAGAGATAGAGAGAGATAGATGGATTAGATTACCCAACAACATGATAAATATCCTATATTATTGAAGTTCCATTAGATGAATCCAAATATGACAATTACGTAATCATGTAAAACAATGAATATTTCATATAAATATACAGAATTTAAAAAAGAAGGGGGGGGGATCAGGCGCTTTAGAAATAAACAAAGAAAAGTGATTATGTTTTAATGACTTGATTGTAGAGTAAATTAGAGTTTGATTTGTGACATAGAAACAAAAAAAATAATATAAATAAGTAGATAGATAAATAACGCAGCTAAAACACAATTACATCACAGGAGAATGAAGAATAATCATTCATTTATTGTTGAAATATATATCGGCGGCGCTAAAACTGTAACGAATGACACACACACACACACACCTATATGTATATATATGTATTCAAGATATGTTGTGTGTATACAATAGGTTAATAAGGAGAAAACTGTCAACAATAAGGAAAAAAAGAGAGACTATTCAATAGAGAGAGAGAGAGAGGGAGGGAGGGAGAAAAGAAGGCAACTTTATTTAATAATAATCAATTAAGAAAAGAAATCGATAAATGGTAGAAGTAACCTAGAACATATTTAAAGAGAACTTACTTGTTAGTTGCTAAGCTCATTATTATTATTATCACTTATTGCCTTTAAATGAAAATTTTGTTTTATAAATGTCACTGGGATTTATAAATATTATTATTATGATTATGACTAATACTACTACTAATCATTGAAGTAGTAGTAGTAGTAGTGTTAGTTGTACAACAAATGGATGTATTTATATGAAGATTATAATTATGAATAGGCATAAATCGTTTGATATTATTATTTCTCCTAGTATTAGTAGTAGTATTGATAGTAGTAGTATTGACAATTTTCTCATAATTACTATGTGATAAATCTGATGATGATGATAATAATAATAATGGAGATATACAACAATTCTCTTCTTTTGATGATAATGGTAAATGAGATATAAATGATGTAGAATATGATGGAATAGGTGAAGAAGGACATGAAGATATTGTACTTTCATTGGAATATAAATTACACTTATCAGATGGATGCATCATTTTAGATGATGGAAATAATAATAAATCAGAAGATTTTGATGAAGTAATATTTTGAAGTGTAGCAAGATTGAATAGATGCTTTGGAGACCATTTTGATAATGAAATAGATGATGATGACAGATTTGTGCAATCGGTTGAAGTAAACGAATTTGAAGATCTTTCAGATTGACTATTAGATATAACATTTGAATGAATGATGTTAGATATAACAGTTGAAGTAAATGGTGATACTATTGAAGTTGGATGATCGGATAAGTTATGTGAACCTCTTGATATGTATGTTAGTAAAGACTCATCGACTAAATTCTGATCATTATTTTTATGGTTATTCTGTGTCAATGAATTATCATCTGATCGTTGTTCACCAATTGATGAGATAACACGATGAAAATTTGGTGTATAATTTGACCATAGAGTATTATTATCATTATTACTACTGTTACTAGGATACAATCCACTAATCAGATCAGTTGAAGATGTATAGTGATGTTTTGATTTACTATAGTTAGAATGATTTGAATGTTGAGACGATGTTATCGTTACTGATGTTGTTGTTGTTGTTATTGATGTAGGTTGCTTTTCCAAGTTATTCAATGTTGTAGATGGTGATATAGGAGAAACTGGAAAATTATTCTCTTCTTCATATTCAGTGTCTGTTAAGAAACGAATACACTTTTTCTTTCGTCTAAAAAGTTACATACACACATACATGAATATATGTATCATTAAGTTCATACAAAATAGGCAAAAATGTATAACAAACTGTGTGGGGATGTTAAATCCCTAAAACGGACTTATTTTTGTAATTTTGAATTTGTTTGTTTTCGCGTCAAAAGCGCTTCGTTCACCTTCGAGTCGTATCTCGCACTTGAAAATATCTTAAACGACATTGGTCCGTTGTATCTTTGAGTGTGCTATTTTGTAAAGCTTCCTAAGGACAATTTTATGCTGTATATATATACGTTTGATTTCTTCCTATTGTGAACGTTTATGCTTCCGGCTGTTTACGGAATATATTTTCCCCAGTTCCAACTGGGAATTATTATTCTAGTTAGCTGGGTCTGGAACACGTCAGAAAAGCTAGCTTATTAGTTTCTAGTCACAAGTCTTTGTTCCATTCGTTGACTAAGTGAATTCAAAACCGTTTCAGATATAACACAAACACAATCCTGTACACAAGTAATGAATAACTTTTTAAACAAGCGCCTAAGTGATATAATGTACTTGAAAGACAAGGTTTTCATATTGGTTTTTAAATCAATGTATCATATACTTTTGTTAAACCCTAAATGAAATACGTGACTTAAACAGACTACATTCACCTAATAGTTTATTTCCTGAGGAACTGATATTCAGTCAGTCAGTCAGCTACAACGTAAGACCAGGCACACATATGCATCGGTCCAAGTTGCCATACCTTGTTAGCGCAACAAGATCAACACCGGATTCATAGAAATATTTAATTTAGTGGTGGTAGTATATAAATTATAGGTTGTATATAAGGATATAGTATAGGAAAGAAGAATGTTATGAAGCAATTTTGATCTTAAGGTTTAAGGGAAGATAAAGAGTGTATACACCTACGCCACTGTGATCGATTCTGAGCCATGTCACACAGAGTCTCCAACTATTGGTTACGATAGTCACGCGGACCCCAACCAGGTAGTCTGCATCTACCAACATGGCTCAGACTACAAGTTAGTGACTTCAAGCACTGATGCCATGTTTTGGTTTGGCCGCCCCTAACTCTTTTCCAACCATCCCCTACACTATTCAGCACAGCGCGTTGTGGTAATCGGTGTTCAGGCATACGCACTTGGGTTATTCTATTTTTTTTTGTAAAGATACGGGTCGACAACAACAAGTTTACGAGTTTATTTAACTTGACAACTTAATTCTTTTTAGTGTAGTGTATAATTGACATTCATATTAACTTGACAGAATCTTTTTTGGTTAATCGTTTGTTTGTTTTTTTTTTCACAAAGAAGTAATCAATAAACTGAGTACTAACTCTGTTACCACATATGTAGATACAAAAAAATGATGTTGATGATAATAATGACAAACTACCGACTGAACAAAATAAAAACCAAAGTTTCTATTACATACAATAACTCTCAACTATTAGTGTGACACTGACAGTGTAGATTTATGATCTCTTCTCGTTCATTAGTCAAATGTAATATGAGGTATGGTCTTGAAAGGGATATAAATCATAACAACTAAATTCACTTAATATTGTTTTATTTGAATCTTCCTATTGATGTTTTTAGACTGCAACTGGTCAGTCTCTAATTGGCATATATGCATACTGTGCGTGTTGCTTCGATATAGCCTTAATTCACAAGCATGGTAAGCAAAGATGGATATTGGCTAGCAATGGAATCCGGTTTGACGTGCGTTTCGTCCTATTTGGGACTCACCAGCTGAATGTACCTGCATCTCAGATTTGATTTTCACTCTGGGACTCAACAACTGTTTATGTCATACATGAAATTGATGAACATAGACAAAAGCATAGAAAGACTTAACATCCTCATATATTTACAGGTAAATACTGTAAAATTATGGGGATCAATGAGATAATTTTACATGTTGATTAACATTCGATTGCATTTACTAATTTTTAAAGTCATCATTATCAGGAAGAGAAAGAGCGATGGTGATTTGAATGTTACCAAACAATACTTCAGCAGCTTATTTAATCAGGTAAAAACTTACATTGATATTTGCATTTTAAAACCGACAGTATTTCACCGCTTGAAATGTATAATTCTGATGGAAGATTCAGTAAATATTCTTACAGACTACTTTATATGCTGTGAATTGTTTAAGAATTCAGTATAGAAAAGTATGGAAGTAAATTTGGTAAACCTTTTGAATGGTAAATTTATATCAGCTAGCCATACTACTTATATATTTTTAAAGTAACAACAAAAGACGTTAATGGTTCAAAAAAGGTATTTGTAACAGTACACAAACAAAAGACAGATAAATTAGTTAACACAAGAACCTTATTAATATTATCATTTTGAGAATGTGAGATTATCAGGGGGGGGAGAATATACTTTACTCGCTAGTGTATCATGGAGTTTGAAACTTTCCATGAAAGCAAAACCTTGTGTACCTGTACCAGGGACGGAAACTGATAGATGAATTCAAAACGATGACGATCGATTATCCGAAACATTAAGAAAGAGAAAAGTAATAAGTGGAAATATTTTAAATTAGCGTAAGTTGAGAAATTAATTGACAGTGCAGGTGGAGTGTTTCAAGTTCTAAACACCTAAGTGAACTAAGTAGTGTCTGTGGTCAATAACAAGCATATGCGAGAAAGAGACAGAGAGAGTAATTCAAATTATTTGGTGGTATAAAATGTTATCTATGCAAGTTATCTCATTAATAGGTGAGATAGGAGAAAAACTTACAATGGATGATAGAATTGATTACACATGACTGAATTAACCAGTAGATTGATAGAATCACTTTGATTTACCGATTCACAGCAGAAGAAGGATAACTACTGTAATTCAACAGCCGATATAGGCATTTGATTATTGAATTTTGAGTAATATACCATATGTTGGACATTTCAATACTACTATACGGCTGATTAAGCTCAATGATTGATTATAGTAGTGCCTTAGTTACCGTTATTTTGTTTCCCAATAAAAAAAATTACCACTGTCTGCCTGATATCATGGTTAATAAAGAGTAAAGAATTTGAGTTACTTATTCGGGTTGTGAAAATTTATTGATTCAGCTAACTAACTAACTAACTGAAAGACATGTTGTATACATTAAAAGAGTGTTGAAATCAGTAGTGTTACGTCACCTCACACAAACACACACTTCATAGGATAATAGCTGGAAGAGGATAGGAGTGAAACAACACGAGTGACAAAAATAAACAACGAAAAAAACAAGGAAAGCGTTCAAGCAAAGTGTAGAACAAGCAGAGAATTGGAAAAAACCCATTATTTGTATTGAGACAGTGAATAATTTTTCATATGTATTATTCCAATTTTGAGTTAGATAGCTTAATCTCTACGAGCTATTTAAACTACTTAACGAGATTCCTCAACGAGAATACTAAAGTTGCATAAATGATGCATATCAAACAAGGATTCTGAAGAAATGAATGGCGTATGAACCTATTGTTGGTCACCGGCTACCATAGAAACATATCTACTAAAGTTACCCCACCTTCTTGCAGACTAGACCTTCAGGTCAAAGTTCCGGAGAGTGGCTCCCTAAGAAAACCATCTGCTTCAGTTCAGGCGTCTTGGCAGTATTCCAGTCCTCTTACAAATCGAATGACAAAGTGTGACATATATATATATATACCCTGATTTCAAACCAATGGTGCACATGGGCTCCAACTTTGAAAAGTTTCTACACAGTACCAAACAGTAAATAAAAGAGGTACTATTATTCAATTAGAAATAATTAATTTTAAGTTATTGGTCTGAAATAAGTATCCATCTATAAATTGATACTATTCTATATCATTTTCACATTTAAATATTTTAATTTTGCGCGAATTCATCTTTTCTTGTTTTAATTACTTCAGGAAAAAAAAGAAAAAGAAATTTCAATGATTATCAAAACACATTTGGACTTAATTAATGCTACTCTTTACTTCTTTTTATCCAAAATTTTAAAATATCAATGTGTTGTCTGATTTATGGTGAAAAATCAAAAACTTTCAATCATATTTATCTATTTGAACACATGAATATTGGTACAAAGGAGCACCGAATACATATGCGCCATACAAGTCACTTGATTTGTATGTGGGCTATGATACTACCCAGGCGCTCAAACCGAAACAGGTGGTTTTCTTAGGGGGCTTTGACCTAAAGGTCTGATCCATAAGACAGTGGAGCATCGTAAGGAGATGCAGTCCCTTGTAGCCGGTGACCAACGATTGATTCATACGCCATTTGTTCCCACAGGATCCCGGAGCCTATGTGCACCATTGGTTTGGAACCAGGATTTTCTAACTCCCCTAGGTGGATAGTCCATATCCACCAACCCGGTTAAGCAACAGACATTTGTTTTTCATCCTTTTAATTTGGTGAACAACACCCCTGGTGTGAGAAGGACTTCCTTGGCAGTATCTGTATACGCATGGCCATTTGAGAGAATTTTGAAAGAGCGAGAGAACACTCCCAACCCTTGGCTGTACCAGGAAATTTGCTGTAGAAATATGTCATTGAAGACTAAGATGGTTCACTATTAAAAATGATGAATGGTATTAGAGACGAATAGACTTAGAAATGTAATTCACTACATTAAAAGTTGTATATCTGTGTAATTCAGTTCTATTAAGATAAAAATAGGTCTGTTACATATAGTAATAATAATAATAGTGTGTCGGAATATGATGTAATAAGATTTTGTGATTGAAGATAATGGATGATATACAGAAAACTCTCTCATGTTCAACACAAATACACAGAGGCATAAGAATAGTTTGGTCATTATTATCATCAGCATCATTAATGGGTTTATTTCCTGTGTACCAGTATTCCAGATCCTCTGCTAGAATGAATGAAAGTGTAGGGTTTTAAACCAGGGGAAAAATATAAGGAAAAAAATTTCCCAATAGATTGTAGAGTTGAATATAGTTTGTTGAAAAAAACACAGAACTAAAAATGATACACATTGAGATGGTCTGTA